TGAGTCTACCCATGACTCGCCATTGGCCTACATCCAGCCAGTTGGAACCGGCGTTGCGGGTGTCATGACACTCACCACCCACCAACCCACTATCTTGCCTCCTGCGGCGGAACCTCTATTTCAAGGGACCGAGTGCTTTGGTCCCCACTCTAATCCGACCTATTCAACTCAAACCATTGTCCACTTCTCTGTTTCAACTCTCCCCCAACCGCCTCTCGCACCCAGGGCGATAAAACATATCCTTTGGTTCGATGGAATGCAGCCAATTGGTGCCTATGTCCCCATGTGTTTAGAAATCAACGTAGTTGCCCGATGTTGCCTTGTCCTAATTTTGCTTTCTTCATCCAATCCACTCTGATCGCTTCTGAGTCCCTCAGTCCTTGCTTCACCAACTTCTTAATCTCAACATCTGACAATGGTCTGTTGTGAAGTATTTCTATGTTTCTGTCTTTCCAAATAATTTTACAGATCAATCCGCGCATTGTGTGAGCAAGATACCCCCAACCTCTCTTCCCCTGCAGTCCCACAGGGAGGAAACCGAAGAGAACCCACTTCTCATCCCATTCCATTACTGGTTCTCTGAAAGATTGTCAATGTTGCTCCCACCACTTTCAAATTTTCTTTGAGGTTGGACATTCCCACCAGAGGTGCTTCGTTGATTCAAAGGGTCAGCAGCATCGGAGCACTTTAGATCAACCTGCATACCCCTCCCTACCAGCCAAACCGCTAAGGGAGTCACCATCAGAGAGACCATCCACAACAGAGTCACTTGCTTACCGTTAGAGAGTTTGGGTAACGTCTCCCAGAGCTTTATAAACTGTGGGCCTATAGTAGGTAAGTCTGTTGAGACTGCCTGCCATCTGTTGATAGCAATGTTTGTGGGTGATCTTCGTTTCGTTATTTCCATGTGGAGCCTGTAGGCAGTACTCGTTGTGTACTTTAGAAGGCTCGTCGTGGGGTGCTTCTCCTCTCCTGTTTGCCATCCCCATATTGTAGGATTGATATAGAGCGTCCTCAACGGAGTTTTGCCCACACAGATTACCTTCTTCCAAATTTTTGCACACCTTTCAACTTGCACAAATCTAGCCTGAGGTGGGCTTTCCCAAGTCTTAATTACTATTTTACTAATCGGAACTAGCTCGTTAGTGTGCCCATCGCAATGCCACCTCTCCACTTTTTAAAAGCCGCTGGGTAAGATCTCCAATAGTTTCCACACTGAGTTTCCATCCACTTCCCCCGCTGTATACCATGTGCCTTGCGGGTCAATGCCCTTCGAGCCCAGCAAATGGCACCACTCCAGAGGGATTGCCCTTAACACATGACGCATGTGAACCTCCACATTTCTAAGACCGCTGAGAGCTTTTTCAATTTCTGCCCAAGGTCGCCAAGTCCCCAACATGGGGGACCATATGTCTCCAATCGTGGTTAAACCCCTACGAATCTAGGCCAATCCAAAGGAGCCAGTGAACCCGCCCGCTTCAAAGAAGCCTCCATCTTCTTTCTGAATCCTAGGATTCTCAAAAAGTACTTGTGACATGACGTATTCCTTCGTGGTCGGGGACGTGCAAGCATCCGACTGGAGGTTGTTCCAGACGTTTATTACTTCCCTAGAAAATTTTGATTTCAAGCGTTTTTTTTTTATGAAGGAGGGTATGAACATGCAAGGCCATACATCCTGCGCCTTGCTTAACTCTCATTCCTTCATAAGAATCTGCTCTGCCAACAATGCTCCTTAGTGGTGACATTAACAATCTTAGCGATCCATATACTCAATTGTGCTTTTTTTTTTTGTTGGATCTACTAGCCCAAAGCCGTTTTGATTTCATGAGAACGTCAAGGTATCTTAGGCAACTTTTACTAGGAAACCCTCTCCCTCTTTGGTCTCCAGTTTCGATAGGAAACGAGCCACAAGTTTTTTGACTGCCATCAAAACGCCTTTGCTGATTCTCTTCACCGCGCTTACAAACCACAAAATTGAAAAAAAGGTGATGTTATAGACGAGTGCCCTGCCGATGACAGACAAGCCCCACATCCGGAATTTAGGTGTTATTCGTTATTGTAGTAAGAGGCCTTGAGCGGAAGTCTCTAACTGTAGGCTAACTAAAACTCTCAAAAATCAACAGCACGTACATTAATTTTGCCTTTTATACGTATGTTGCGTAAAAAAAATAAGTGATTTCTTTTTCGTATTCACACATATTTGACTCGGAACGGAAAATTCATAATGTAATCATCATTACTGCAGTCCTTGCTAAGGATCATTATCCATTACTACCATTCACAATATAGTGCAATTGAGAAATAAAATTGAATTACGGTTTTGAAGAGAGGGTGAGGAGAAATGAATAAAAAAAAAACTCGACATATGGTCAAATACCTAGTTTCAAACAAGTGTTATTGTTAAATTCACACCTAGGAGTATTCACACATCCCTCTACCACTACACTTGGTTTAGCTCCTACCCCTTGCCACATTCGTCTCTCCCTCTTACTCCATTTCTCTCACTTCGAACATTTCATACTGTAGACTGACATTTCTGAATACCTTTGTCATGTACGATAATAAACGTAATCATATGCTATATGTTGATAGGCTTTTAAAATCAAATGGTGGCCTATATCCATTTACAAGTAGCGAAGTAAATGCCAACACATAGATACCGCATTGATTAATGTCTTTTTGTTTGGAAATATTGGGAACGTCTAGAATCTGCTCGAAACTTCTGAAATCTACTCGAGCATACGTTGTTGCTGCAATTCTTTCTTTCAAGAAATCTCGCACAAGTGATACAACACTTTGTGGGAACGAGGTCGCTATTGTTGTTAGAGAGTCATAGTGCTCGAACACTTTCAATTGCATATGAATTGCGAGCAAAGTCCAATGTTGGCGTGTTGGATCGTTAAGCGGCCACAGGAACAAGTTTGTGCTGCAAAAATCATTCCTAGCAAACCATCTCTGCACTTTGTTGCATTTGTGGCATTTGTCCTCTGCCAATGCGGGATAGAACAACGACGACAACGCTATGATTTGGCAACTGTTTTCTTCATGAAGTCCTTGTGTGTTGGTTATAAGTTGCATGCAGACATTTATAACTTCATCGTTTAACCATCCGTTTGGGTCCGCAATGTGTGTTATGTCTTCGATCTTTATGATCATCTCTCCTGTCGCCGACCCTCTCAAATGGTTTTTTGCTTGCGAACCCTGATTACACATGTTTTCGTACTTTGCTCGCATTCTTGCTTCCTCGTTGAGGTGGACGGGCTTCGTCACCAACCCCAACTTATGAGTGTGAAGTTTCATAATTGTTGAGAATTTGAGAAGAATAAACGGGGATAAACGATCACACAAACAACACACAACAAAAAATAAAGACCATTTATTGTGATTTTCATACGTTGTTTGCTTAAGCGTATCCATAAAAAAAAACTTTTTTTATTGGAAGAAGCATTATGATACTGATGACAGTATGTTGTTCGTGACTAACATCAGAAACGCTTTGTATAGGAAGAACGCCCACTTTAAAATCCTTATGAGATACACATGACCACAAATCCCAATGTCGTGCTATGTTCCTAAACTTTTACCTTTCTTTCACATGAAAGTCATGATGCTTCCATCATCCATTCTCTCTCTCTCTCTCTTTCTCTCTCTCTCTCTCTCTATCTATCTATCTATCTATCTATCTATCTATCTATCTATCTATTTATCTATCGATCTCTCTCCCTCTCTCTGTCCCTCTCTCTCTTTCTCTCACACACATACACACACACACACACACACACACACTACTTGTGTTCGGGCTCATGTTCCCTTCCCTTTGCACTTCTCGATAATTTACAAACAGGTTGCAACTTCTCTCTCCTACCAAGCCGTCGAGTACACATAATTGTCAATTATGCAGGTTGCAACTTCTCTCTCCTACCAAGCTGTCGAGTACACATAATTGTCAATTGTGCCCCGTCTGTGATACTGCTCTTAACACCTTCATAGTTTAGAGACCCACCTTCAATGGTCGGGATAAATACAATTCCTTCGACGACATTGTGGATTTCGTCCTTATTATTGTTGTTGACCTCATTGTTAATGACTATTTCCTCTGCTTGTCTTCGACATGATGGGTCGATGTTGTTGCAAGTAGAAGGCTTACTCGTTTCCCGCAACTGAGATTCTGGCAGCACCTTGGACAGTCCACCGCTTCCATGTTCACATTCCACTGCCTCAACACCGCCCTCGCCATGCTTTTCATCATCTGTAATCTTGTGTCGTTCGTAAACATCGTCCTCCTTGTCTGCTTCCTTAGCGCTCTTCTCGTCATTGTTGTTGTCCATCCTTTCGTCGTCGCTGTTTTCAAATTCTACATGCTCATCCCCTTGCATTTCTTCGTCAAATACATCATGCTCATTACTTCGCATTTCGTCCTGGTTCGGGTGGTTCGTGTTTTTGCATGCGCCATCGTCAACGTCCATATCTTTCTCCCCTCAAAATTCCTGTCCACGCTCGATTTTATCTTTTTGATGCAACGACTCTTTGCAACCCTCGTGGTTGCGAGGATTGAGCATCTGATTCTCTTTGATCACATCCTCAGGCATGATATCATCGTCTTTATGGATGGTCTGCCCTCCCGGTATACTTGGGAGCACCCACGTGTCTGATGAAAGTTATGAAGGCGACGTCTCGAGGTCATAAAACTCTGCAAAGAACTCCAGTTGCCCCAATTGCAAAAGACTGTCATATAATTCATTGCACCTCTGTTTGATGAGTTTGATGCTTGCATTCGAGTTCATGAACTGCAACCTCCTCTTGATCTCGTCACGTGCATGATCTTGAAATGCACTTCTCCCCATCCACTTTGTTACCACCACTCTCCGTCGTTGTTCGCAGAAACATACGCCCATTGTCGATGCGACACACACGACTGAAATTTGTAACGGTGCCAAATGATGTCATGACCCCATTTTTCTTCAGGCATAAATACATGCGCCTTACCGTAAAACACAGACTTTGTGGTACTCGGTGATGCATGAGCAGACAATGGGTCTCCAGGAGCTAACTGCATCACCTTTCCGCCATTGCCACTGAAATTGTCCGCTTCCACGTTGATGGTACGATGACTTGCCATGTCCTCCGGTGCAAGCAACGAACGAGGTTGTGGGATATGAAACCGCTTGCTTTGTGACTGTTTATCACTGTCACCGTCGTTGAACGGGGCTGCATCGTCGAAAGTGGAGTGTAAGTTTTCATCGTTAGCTCTCCTATTTGATGGTCGAAATGCAATAATTCAAGTCGCGCAATGAAGGCATTAATTGCACCGACCCTCGCATTGTGATACGTCTTCAAATAAGAAATGACGGCAGCCTGATGGAGGATGTAGTTCGAATCATTTGGGTTTTGTGAAAGATTTTCAAACAAAAATGTCCACACCTCATGACGATGTTTGCCCAACTTGTAGAACATATCACGGTCTGGGATCATTGTTTCGCCTAGTTTCTCGCAGGTGCATCGTTGCGGTATCAACAAAACCTTCTTCGTAATGTACACGCTCAAATAATCAAGCATGACGGGCTTCGCATCAACAGCAATAACGTACCTTCCTGATGAAACCACCTCCCACACGGCACCAGCTTGAGGTCGTCCTAGCATAAGGACAGTGCCCCCAACTTGCACGAAATGCTCACAAAATTTGCGAACATTTTCACCAAATCTCTCCCTGCTCTCGTACACGAGATTTTTTCCACCAGCGAGATCCCCATCCGCGAATTCCATTTGCAGGAATTTCTCGTCCACCACGTTTTTTTGAATACTCGAGGCTCTTGTTATCATAACTTGTCAAGATCCTGAGACACCTCATGGTGTTTTACTGTTGCTGTAATTTCCCCGTACTTCGCTCTTGCCTTGATTCCGCCAATGGTGTCCGTGATATCGGTCGTTGTCACACGGACTGTGTTCCTCTTCGCGTCACCATCGTCAAGCTTATAAACGATAAACATGGAATTTGCTTGCCTCATAAGAAGGTGTCCAAATTGTTGCATCGCGTTTCGCTGGCTATATCTCGCCCATGATCCTTACAAAATGTGGACGTCCTCCCACTTTGCACACTGCTTTAAAACCATTCCCTCCACATGGAAAGGGACGAGAAGCACAAACGTAAAAAAACTGCCGCAAAACAAGCTCATAAAGGCTTGAAGTAGATGAAATTGTTCTTCTGTCCATGAGTCCATCTGTTCGGTGCCACAAAGATCCAACCACACGAAATGGGTTGGGAAGTATCAAGTGGCTTTTGCTATTTTGCTGGAACTGATAATGGCATCCAACGAGTGGATGCGCATCGAACTGAGCGATGTTGACATTTGGCGGTCTTTCCACTTCATGCATAGCTGGTTGGTCCGCACGTGGCTTGTTTCAATCTCTAGTGTCATTGTTTTGTCCAGGAGCCTGTACACAAATACCTTGAAATCTACATGCATGCACGTACTCCAAGACTTTGTTTTCGTGTATCCGCCTTGTGATTTTTCCGTCGTTCCACCAAGGCGCATGGGCATCATTTTCACCAAGTCCAAAGGGATTTCCTTGCGTCTCTCGTCCCACGTTTTCCTATCAAGTCCTTTGTGAGCAAAATGATCCAACACCTCCTGCAGACCAAGAAAGATATGATCATTCAAGTTTTCCATGTGCTTGTCGAATAACATGAAATTGATCATATGAAGCATGTAACGCTCTCGGTTCTGTTGGGGACCGCAGTCCTCCCCTGCCCTTTGGCGCTTGTGTTATCATGACCTCACTGACCAATATGCGAAGAAACACATACTCTTTCTCTTCCACATGTTGCGGAATGCACGTCATATTGTCAACTACGGCTCTGGGACAACTATGAAGTAGTGAGACCCGCCGGTACCCCGAACAAAGTGCACCAGAATTTTTCCCTCCTTCACGTTTTGTGTTCCTAAACCTTCACGTGTTGCTATACCTTGAACACCTCTCTTTGACATTGACTTTATCCCATCGCTTCCAGCAATGTTGCCTTCCTCCCACTCATCATAAAATTTTTGAACCAGTGCCCACACTTTGTCTGATGTTTCGGCAAGTGCAAGGAAAGGTCGCAATATGTTCGACCACTCAGGATCATGATCAACTCCACAAGTTGTCATTTAGACGCGATTGTTCGTCATAAACATCGCAGCCCTTTGAAAATCCATAAAATTCTCCTTTTTTTCTTGCCTCCCAACATCGGACTCACCAGCTATTCCGTAAACTGCCTCCTGTTTTCCCATGTCCAACCACAACTTCCGTATTGATGCCACACTTCCACGCTGCGAGAACGACACACCTTTCAGCTCCTTCGTATTTTCTTCCGTTGCAATGTGGTTGTACCCTTTCAATTCGTCATTGTCAAAATAAACAGGACGCACCCTCCAATTGTGGAAACCTTTATTTATGGCAAGTTGAGAGACACTTAACAATTCTCTAGCAGCCGCAACAGTATGTTGACCGACAACTGCGTACCAATGATAGGCGGACACTCATGAGATTTGAAAATCTTGTGGTTTTATACGTTGCGCTTTTCCACCGCTGCCATGATGCGGGGGAACAATAGGTGCGACAATGAGGTCCGACTTCCTCCATTGTCCATGGCCCGCATAAGATTCCTCAACTACCCGTTTTATACCACAACACGCTCTCGCTCGAGTGGTTGGTGGTTGTACGCTATCTCCCGTGGCGGTATGTCCAAGACTCTGCTTACGTCAATGAGCACCTGCGGCGGATTGGTTAATGCCTTCCCCTCCGTGTCGTACTCTAGAAAAAAACCCTTATCATAGTTGATGGACTTGACCTTCCGTGACAATGCAGTTTCATGAAGCGAGTGACGCACATGATCTGCGGCTAGGTGATTTTCTATTTGAGCAAGCATGTCCTCCTTCCTTATCCTACGAGTCTTCTCCATCACACCTCCATGCACTGACTTTTGTTTTCTCCCTTTGCCACGACCTTTTACGGTTCCTTCAGCTATAATATTTTGCCTCACCGCTTCATCGAACCCAAGCGCCACCACGAGTGGACAATTCCGTTTCCTCTGCCCTTCAGGAATGCTCCTCCCTATGGTAGTTGGCGAAGGCACGCCGTCAGGTTTATTGTTATTATCATCTCTACTTACAACGACAATGCTTTCGACATTCGTTTCGCCACGGAAAGGAAGCAACTATGAGTTGTTGAGAGACATCTCTTATACTTCATCTTCTATATCTTCCGAGCTATCATCCTCAACACCCCGAACTATGGCTGGCAGAGGGCGAGGTTCCTTTATGGAAATTGTAGTACGGCTACTTTCACCTCTTCTTGTGGACAGGTCATGCTGCATTGTGGAGCGTGGCCTCCTCACTATAGCTGATGGCACATCCCGCGCAGGTTCTGATGGAATCTCTAAGTGCCCGACTACATCGCACTCATACTGCTTGGATCGAATGCCCGTGATGACCAACTTACCTAACAAAGCTTGCCTACTCTCTTGTGTTGGGAGATGACTTGCATCAGGTGTCCCTTGTGTTGGTATGCCGACATCCGCACTGGACTTTACATACGTGATCGGTGCGGTGATCGCTGTCCCGGGAGCCACATAAGACGGACTTCCTTTCTTTCAGGAGTGTGATGTGTTCTTCATGAAGTCCTTTGCAGTCACTAAACCTTTGTCTGCCATGATCTTCGTGTATTGTTCATATTCTGTAGCCTTTTTCCCGAAACAATGAAAGAATTTCCAGGTTATGTATGTCGCCTCCTCTGGGTCAGTGTTCAAGTTCATTGTCACACACACTTTCCTTAATCCTTCTTATATCCCACTCCACCACAAGCTCAAATTGCCCCGGTAGTAGAAACATTAACTTGTTACAGTTCACTGCCGCTTTCGAGAGCATGGACTCGGAGTATTCAACCATAATTCCTTTTAAGGATTTCAGTGATTTCACTGTGTTTTAATAATTCATCAGTTAGTGCTTTGACCTTGCAATGCGCGTCGCTGTGTAACTGCAGACCTTTCACCAAAGCGTTATGATGAATTTTATTCGAAAGAACCTTCATTCGTAGCACGAAGAGAAGTGATGTGAAAGGACAACCCTGACGCAATGAGCGGGAGAGCTTGAATGGAGTTGATAGATGGCCGTTCACCATTCCTGTGGTCGGGGCAAATACCCTGACAGAGAATTTGCCAAGGATTTTAAACGACGGACACCGTCCGATTTTTTCGTTGAATTCAAGGACTTGATGAGACTGACGTTTGCCAGAAGTTCATTCAGATTAACCTATGACCGAAATATTGAAAGTTTTTGAACTTTAGTCCGGACGCTTGTAGCATCCGAAAATAGCGACAGTAATTGGCAGTGCTTGGCTTTTGTTGAAGCCGCAGAAGTGTGCTGACGTGGAAATGATGAAACTAGTAGTCGAGCGATTCAGAGCCTAACAAGGCTAAAAAGAAGGGACGCGCCGGGTATAGGGCCGTGTCGCAAGGGGGGGGAAGTTTTTTTTATTATTTCCTGGGTCCGTCGGGTTTGACTTCGAGACAGAGGCCATACCCACGACTTAAAGGCTGGCCATGGGGCCGCCCAACTGCAACGCCTGCCGGGTAGATGGCATAGCGATACGTTAAGAGGCTGGGGCAGATAAGGCCAACCCAAGCTGAATGTCAGGCGGCTTGCTGGGTGCAGCCCTTCAAGTAGAAGGGCTGCTGTTATAGCTCTCGTGAAAGGAGCTAGCCCAGTAGGTACTACATTCGACTTCCACCCAGCAGATCATAGGATCGAACTCGATGAGACGTTAGTGGACTAGCTCCTTTTGGAGCAGTCCACCACAGAGATAATCGGACACGGTTGATTTCGGCCGCACGATCGTTAAGATCCCGCGGTGGAAATTCGTCGCGCCACGATTAAGAAGACCCCTGTGTAAGGATGACACACATAAATCGTACGAAAAAAAAAAAACTTCAATTTTTCGAATCCGTTAGGATTCGAACTCAGACCTGCATTTCAGAGGATGTGGCTGAAAAACCACGTGATGACATGAACGTTGGCCTTAACCAACAAGGGAAAAAAAAAAAAAAAAACTGAAAAAAAACTAAAACTAAGACTAAGTTACGGACGACGCACCAAATGGCGCAGTCCGAAGTAACTGGGACATTTAAGATCTCAGTAGCTCTGACGGTGCCCATTATGAACGAACGACCTTTTTTATGGCAAGTTTTTTTCTTTTTCTTTTTTTACTTTTTAGATTTTCTTAATTTCTTAGATTTGCTTTAGATTTTTTTTTTTTTTTAGATTGTGTTGTTTTCTTTTTCTTTTTATTAATTAGTAAGTGTCCGTTCGTTGAAAACGAACGGGCTGTCACTTAAGTTTAGGATGAGCAAAATTGAATGAATCTGTCGTGGAAACGCGATACGTTCCGGGCGTGGGTTTTAGGGCCTTGTAATTGAGTTACGAGGGACTCTCTGCACACGCATCAGGTGGTTTCCAGTTTGCGAGGGACGGCAGGTCGTGTTCTGGTAGTCGAACTAACATTTTTGCTGCGCCGTGTAGACCTTCAGTCGTCCCTCCCTGAGGACAACTCGCATATTGCTGGCAATAGTCGTGACTGTCGAGAGAGAGAGAGAGAGAGAGAGAGAGAGAGAGAGAGAGAGAGAGAGACCTTATGTGGTGACCGTTGGATTAACGACAGTAGCAACCAACAGATAAGTTGGCTTTTCTTTCCCTTGAGCCGCGCGCCTGTATAAGGCACCTATTCTACGTCAGATACAGGCGCGGGGTAGGGGAAAAAAAGACCCTGTTGAGCTTGACTCTAGTTCGACTCAGTGAAATGACTGAGAGGAGGGGGCGACCGTTCGTTTTAAATAGCGAATTGCCC